CCTACTCCTACTCCTACTCCTACTCCTACTCCTACTCCTACTCCTACAAATCATTCTTATCCAAATAATCCTCCAATGCCCTCTTGAACGCTTTAAGGCATTAAGATTGACAATCATTGCCTTAGTAGTGAAGCACTCTAGAACATTTTAAGAAAAATTAAATCTTCTTTCTTAGCAGTGTACATCTATGCAGGAGCTAGTGTAGAAACAGCAATAGTATTTTAAATATAGTACTCCCATGTATATCATTTCATCAAGTTACATTAATTTCATTCTAACTAGCTGTAATAACAAATTCGTAACTAAACTCCCCTTACCTGATAATTTCTGCTTGTTTGCCTCTTTTCTTGAAGGTACTGATGTATGTTAGAATAAGGCTTAATTTGGTCTGGCAACCCACTCATGTGTAAGTGCAGGCTTGTGTGTTAACAGGGTATTTGTTTAGGAGGTACACCCTGCCCTTGCCAGCAGAGATCCTTAGATAACAGAAGAGACTAAGTGAAGCACTTCCTCTTCTTCAGCACTCTGGTCTGCTGACCTAAACTATTCAGCCCCACACTCAACTCAAACTTCTTTTCTGTCAGTACGAATGGGACAAAATCTAGACCCTTCCTGGTTCGCACTCTTAAAACAAATTGGAAGATGTGAAATCAGCTGGAATCTGAGAAAGCTTGATTAAAATGAAGTTATGCCTAATGCATAGTCCAGACCATATAATAGATCCAGAAGAAACTCTTCAGCCTGCAAGATTTCATCTTTTCAGAATAACAAAAACTTATTTTCCCGTTCCAGTGATTGCTCAAATGAATCCACTGGTCTGGTCCAAACCATTTTTTGTGACGGTTAAATACCTCAGTCACCCACAATATCAACAAATACCAAAGAGACTGTTATTCCCCATATCAAAAGCATATTCTGTGTAAAACCAGTCATATTATACTAGTTATTTTTAATTTCCATTTGCTGTACCGTATCTGCTGTGCTCGGTTTCATCCATCGGCTGCTCTCCCAATGCTTCCTGTGCCAGCTGCAGCTGCTCTTTTAATCTGTTTACATCGCGCTCTGATTTAGCTTTTACGATACTTAGCTCTGTGTATATGTCCTTATACTTGTCTGTAGCATATTTCTTATCCTGAAGAAACAAATGTGCAGAGTACAAACAGATTACACCTTGGATAACAGAACGCAATTGTCACAATCTTTGAAGGTAACGACTTCCAGGCTGCTCATCACTTGGCCTTGCCTTTGGCATGTCACCTCCAAATTACTAATGGTCACTAGTCACCACAGTTCCCATTTCATACTCTAATGTATACCATTAGTCTAGACATCTGCGATCACCTTTGACTTGACCAAGGAAAACTGCTCATGCTTCTCTATTTTCCTCCTGCTCCAGGAAGATTTTGAAAACAAGGAGAAGCCCATACTCCTCAAATACCAAATGCATCACTGATCCAACTTCCTGCACTTTTTATCATCAACCCATTCCCATTGCACAGCAATAATTAAACCTCATTTGTTGGAAAATATATTTAGCTTGTACCATGGATTTGAAATACTTCTGGATAAATATCAGATTACTCCCATCACTGATGAAGGAAGGTAATTTTTTGTTTAAATTGATGTCAAATTTAGGGTTCGACAAACACCCATATTTCTTCAGTTGACAGTGACGAGAATGGATCCAACACACAGTTAAGTTGTTAAAAACTTCAAAAACTGATTATTGCTGGGATTTTCAAGAATAAATGCAAAGCTGCTATGCACATGATGCGCCAACCTGTCTAGTTCTGTGCTGTAATTATGGTATGATTCTCAGATGTGTGCATTTAATTTACACTGTTGCTTTAATATTCACTGATATTGTTTTAGGTAGTGACACTAGATGGCACTAAACAATAAGAGTTCAGTAAGAGGCTACTTTCCATTCTAAGTCCAAGCCCTACTACATCCAGCTCTCTTCAGTTTGTTGTATCAGCAGCTATTTTTAGCTTTAAAAACTGGTACATGCATGGAAAGACAATTAACACCATGAGATTATAGTGCTTTACATGTAGAACGCGAACTAGAATAAACAGCAGGATCAGAATAAGGGATACAGACCTGAGACAATTTGCCATCCAGCAATGGGAGGTGCCCAGGTTACATGTACATGACAGGGAACGAGAGCCGGCAGAGGCAGAAGTGAATGAAACAGAAGCAGAACAGCATTTGGCTTTTACAATCAGCTTCAGTAAATATGGAATTCTCGGGAGGAGCAGCAATAAAACAGTAGGATTCTCATGTCAACCAAGAAGCTGACTTTAGCAATACCAAAACCTCTGTTATTCTTGATTCTTGTACCAAATTAATAATTCAATTTTTAGATGGTGGGAGAAATTCTGTAGCCATTTTTGTGGGCACTGTTATACTGATGTAACACAAGTTGTTTGTAAGCTAACTCTTACACATTAGCTGAAACTCCCTGATATTATCTTTGTGTTACTGTGCACATTGTTTGGAAAACAAACCTTGGGTTCCAGTGAGTTCTTAGAATAGCAACCAGATTAATCAGTGTAATAAACATACAATATTTCACTTTTTGCTCCTTCAAGAGATTTGTATCAATTAGTATTTATAATGCAAATATAAAGGCGTTAAGTGAACAATAACAATTTTCCTAACGGTTTAGATGAACTACGCATTGCCTGGTTTGATCATGGGGCATTCAGACCAACAATTTCAGATTCTATTTCTTATCTGTGCTGAGTTGGCCAGTCTTGGTCAGTGGAGATATAGTGGGCTGCTGGTATCCCAAATGGAATTGTTGCCTTCAGTAGAGGAGGAAAATAAAGAGATGGCAAAATAATCTAAATAGAACTCTGAAATGAAACAGAAAAGCTAAAATCAGGCACTTTGTATAGTGAGTACTTACACGTTGCGCAGTCTGCAGTTCATCTTTCAAGGAATTGATTTCCTGTTTTAAGTACTGTATTTCCGATTCTTTAACCCGCAGCAATACCTAGCGAGGACACAAATAACTGTAGTAAATGTTGTATATTTTAACAATGTTCATAAATCAAATTGCTACAACACAGGGGTTAGCAAGCTATATTGTATAAGTCTTGCAGTCGCTGGATTCAGAACATTGTGAAATTAACATATTCAATGACCTTCAAAATGGCCTAATTGTTCATAGCCAGACTTTAAGAACAACAAATATCAGGCACCAAATGTATAACTTCAACAGAAATTAACAGTTTATGTTTAATACTGTAAACTTTACAGGAGCAAAACTGAACAAGGTATTAAGATCTATGACTTAAATCCAATCCTCTGATCACAACACTGTCTTACACTGTCTTAACAAACTCTATTGGAACAATCTTAGAGTTTCTCAATGAAAATTAACAGATTATGATCAGCAATATTGTCTTACACAATATCAAACAAACTTCAAAATGTTGAAGAGCTGTCAATACTTCCAACGCCTCCTTTTGAGACTGGAATGCCTTTTCTGATGTCGATTCTACAGCTTCTCCATTCCAACCTTGTCATCCTGCAAGAGAACTGCTCCAATTCCTAATTGCTAGTGTCTTTTGTTGGTTTAAACATTTGTCATATTTAGCTGCAGCTAACACAGGTTTATTTTAATGTTAAGTTTGCTTTCAGCTTTTCAAAGGCTGCTTGGCATTCTATTGACTGTGACACCTTTGTTTTCATAACAAGTTGATTAAGGTGTATGGCTATCATAGAATCCCTATAGTGTGGAAACAGGCCCTTCGGCCCAACAAGCACTCCAGCCAGAACCCATCACCCTACAACCTGCCTAATCTACTCATCCCTGAATACTATGGGCAATTTAGCATGGCCAATCCACCTAGCCTGCACATCTTTGGACTGTGGGAGGAAACCGGAGCACCCAGAGGAAACCCACACAGACATGGGGAGAATGTGCAAAGTCCACACAGACAGTCGTCCAAGGGTGGAATCGAACCCGGGTCCCTGGCACTGAGAGGCAGCAGTGCTAACCACTGAGCCACTGTGCTGCCTATTGTAAAAATTAGGTACAACATTCTGATAAAATCAGCATATTCCCAAAACTCTTATTATATCTCATTTCGTTTTAGAGGTAGGAAAGACAAAGTGCTTTGTTTTGTTGATTTGTGTGAAACATGTCTTGTCCTGCAATGTATGTCTCAAATATGTCACTTTTGCTTTTGCAAGTTCACCTTTATGCAAGATTGAACACCAGCCTTGCCCACTGTAATTGTCTAAACACATTGCCTAACTGTTCTACATGTTCGTTTCATGTTGTACTGTACACCACAATATCATTCAAGTGAACTCCACAATTAGGTACTTTGGCTATAACTTCGTTCATTAATCATTGAAATATGGCTGGGGTCCCCTTACATTCAAATGGCAGAACCCCACATTAAGGCAATCCATTGGGTTTGACAAAAGTGGACATTTCTTTACCTCTTCTTGTCAATGATACCTGTCAATTTTAACAAATTAATGCAATCTTCTAGTCTGAAACCCTATACCCAATCAGTCTTCGTGATTGCATTCACTGTCCTACATTCCACACAATCTGCTCAATTTACTGGCATAAAAACCAATATTACTCGAGGAATCCAATTACTCTGGTTTGGTTCGGTCAATTGATTCTCCATCATGCATTTCTTTTGTTATATGAGCCTGCTTCTCTGAGTTTAACCGGTATGGGTTTTGTTTGATGTCTGAACCACCTACATCAACTTCATGTTTGGCTGATGTGGTACACTCAAGTGCATCTTTCCGAACTTCTTTATCTCTGGAGCAATCTTCCTGTTGACCCTTCTCTAGATGTGAAAATGGTGTCAACACCCTCTTAATAACTCCGAATTTGTTAATCTATTAGAAGGAAGTTCACTTTGGGAACTGTCCACTTTTCTTTTGACGTCATTCTTTTATCTTCCATCCTCCCCTACTATACTTATTACTTGGCACACCTGTACTTTTATTGTCTTCTCTGTGATAGTACTGTTTTAACATGTTCACATGACATAATTGATACTGTTTCTTACAATCAGGAGTATCACTAAGATGTCGCCTTACTAATTAACTCAAAAACTGTATTAGATTTTTCACTACCACCTTGGCTCTGATCGTCCTTAAGGGAATAGCCTCTGGAAATCAAGTAGTCATATCCATAATTGGAAAGGATATATTCGTTTCCAGCTTTTGTTTTAGTAATGGTCTGACATCATCCACTAGTACATGACTGAATGATTGCTCAAAAACTGGTATGGAAATCAGGGCTGCTGCTTAATTAATTGTCGAGGTTTACCTACAACTTGAGAAGTATAGCATGTTCAACATTTTTATGCAATTGTGGTCAGGTAAAATACCTGTTTATGAACGTCAGAGTCTTTCCGATTCCATACCCTGTCATGGGAATGTCATGTGCTACTCACAATATCTCCCTACAATAGCTGGGCAATACCACTATCTGATAAACAACCGTCCATTCTTCATTGGCAGGTCTATGAGGAGGTTTCCACTTTCTTATCAGCACTCTTAAGGGAATAGCGCTCCGGAACTCCTGTAGCTTCTACCTCAATACAAACTGACTGCTAATTTATTTAATTCAGGATTTGTTTTTGTGCTTCAATTAGTAGATGTGATACCAAATATCCACCTGAATTATCCTCACCTTTCAGGAAACTCTCAGCTACCCTTCATTTATCATGGTGTCATATCTACCTTTATTGATAGATTTTGTTTAACCATCACTCTAGTCACCACCCACTTGAGTCTTAACTGCTTTACTACTTTTTGGTTACATTCTTAAATTTTCAACAGTTTACATTTCAGGATAAAACATCAGCAATTACATTTAACCCCCACCTGTCCATGAACATTTCACATCCTTGTGACAAAACATCTGCAGTGTTCTTAGAACAAAAACTAACCTATAATTATCATTCTACGCCAGTTCCCCTATGCAAACACCAGTTTGTTTGTTCTCTCTTTTAAAGCAAGCTGCTGTTTAAAGTTCAATTTTCAACTGCAACTTGGAGTTCCAAACCAAAAATAAGTAAAGAAAAAACAGTAATAGTCTCAACACAATTTCATGCTGGAAAATGAAGTAGAACAGCAGGTACCTTGTTCAATATATTATGGAAAACTGTACACATCAGTACAAGATCTGATTGCAATCCTATTTTTAAATCACTTTTGGATAGTTTTAAAAATTGCTTTCCTGTAGACTGAATGGATCATTTTTGATTGCTTTATATTAGACTGCTAGAGTGCTTTCTGATTTTCCTTTTCTGTATTCAAACCTTTTGGGAGGAGTTTTAAGAGAAAGAAAAAAAAGTCTGACATTTCCCACATACATTTGTGTGTGTAAATATATCTAGGTTTCCTACAGCTGTGAAAAACTAACATTGCAGAGTTTAAGATAACAAGGTGTAGAGCTGGATGAACACAGCAGGCCAAGCAGCATCAGAGGAGCAGGAAAGCTTACGTTTTGGGCCTAGACCCTTCTTCAGAAAAGTTTTCTGCTGCTTGGCCTGCTGTGTTCATCCAGCTCTACACCTTGTTACCTCAGATTCTCCAGCATCTGCAGTTCCTACTACCATTGCAGAGTTTAGCTGATCTCTTCAACTTTTGCAAATGCTGACATTTTCCCTTTTTCTTTCCTGCATTCCCAGTTATGATTCATAGTTCCTTTTTATGATTCTATCCATTCTCTAGAAAACTGGCACCAAGTAATTCTGAAGACCAAAACTAATCAGATCCTTAAACAGTGGTTACTCAGTGACAAAATCTTGCACAATCATATCTCGAATCAGGAACAAACTTATGCATGGATAACCTTAATACCTTGACACCTTTGTTCACGGAGTTTTGTTCTACAAATGTACAGCTTACCTCTAATTCATATACTTCTTTGCCTTGTGATAGGCCAGTTAAATCTCCTCCACTGTCACCTGTCATCATTGTTCTCAGCCGGGTTATTTCCGTAGCCAGACGATTATTTAGCTCCTATTAGAAATAATAAATCCAGTAAAACAAAAGGCAAATAAACACTAAACTACACTTAGAAAAATAAAACTCAAGAAGAGGTACATCTGAACAGTCGAGAGAGAAGGCAGACCGAAAAAAATGTCAAGTCAAATTGCATATTATCGAACAATCTAACTGATTCAACCAACTGCAGTGGCAAATTAAGGATCCATGAAATAGCTCCGTTTTGCTTTGTGGCGGATCCAATTGCAAAACAACCCAAAGTTCCACTGCGTATTGATGGTTGACCAAGTACTCGTAAGGCCACAACAAAGGACTGCTTAGAGGTAATTTAGGAAAGAGATTTGAAAAATGGAATAGTTATGGATAAACCTGATTGTGGAAAAAGAAGAGACTAAAGCGATAAACAGGTACCCAGATTCTCACTCAGAGGTTTACATGAACAGTGTTGCGCAGCTGACTATGATTTATCACAGACAGCCTTGTAAAAGGAATGTCAAGGGGCCTCGTACTGGAACATGGAAAGAAGAACAGGTTTTGATCTTTGCTCCCACTTCCTCCACAAGTGAGTGCTTTGGGAAATGGATTAGTTTTTATACGTGGACCTGATCAGGGTACTGAGCAGTGAGATATTACATCCAAAATTGATACAGTTTTCTATGTTCCCAAGTATGCATTTTTCAAACCAGAATTTGAATGCTTTTTTCCCCTTTGTCAATAAAAATCAGTTCACACTATTTTTATTTAAACATTGTAAGTCTTTTATTTATTGTGGCGATTTAATGGCATTTCAACTGTCACGGAGAAGGCACATCATACCTGGTTGTGTGCATTGAGTTCCTGGTTTTCACGCTGGCATTGTCGTAATGCCTGTCGCTCTGCTTCCAAAGCCTGAGCCAAGTGTGCGTTTTCCAAACACTTCTGGGAATACTGTTCTGACAAAACCTCAATTTCTCGTTGCAATGATGCCAGCTCCTCACTGTTAAACAATTTTACAATAGTTTATTTCCTGAATACTGCTAGATTAAACATTTTCAATTTTTAACCAATTATTCATGACCAATATTGCAAACATAGAAACAAAGAAGGTAGGAGGAGTAGACTATTTGGCCCTTAGACGCTATTCATCATTAAATATGGTGGTGGCTGATTATCCAACTCAGTATTCTATTCCCATTTTCTTCTTATCCCTTTAGCCCTCAGAACTATAAATTGCTCCTTCTTGAAAGCATTCAATGTTTTGGAATCAATCATTCTCTGCGGCAGAGAATTCAACAGATTCACCCCTCTCCAAGTGAAGAAATATCTCCTCAGCTTAATCCTAAATAGCCTACCCACATTCTTAAATTGTGCTCCCTGGTTTTAATCTTCCTGGTCATCAGGAACATGCTCCTGCATTTACTCGGTCTAGTCCTGTTTTAATTTTCAAGGTTTCTATGAAAGCCCCCTGCATTCTTTGAAACTCCAGTGAATATAGTACTAACCAATTAAATTTCTCTTCATACCCTTCAGTTCACAGAAACTGTTCCAGAGTCTATTGAATCTTGAAAGATGACCACCAATGGCCACTTCCTTAAGTACTCTGGGATGTAGGTTAACCGGCTTTGGTGATTTATCAGCCTTTAATCCTATCCATTTCCCCACTAATACCGATTTCCTTCAGTTTTTCTCCCTCTCCAAACCACGCGTTCTCCAACATTTTTAGGACATTACTGGTGTCCTCCTTTGTCAAAGTAGAACTAAAGTATTCATTTTGTTTCCCTTATAACTTCCTGTTTCTGACTGTATGAGATCTATATTTGCCTTCACTAATCATTTTCTCTTCAAATATCTATAGAAGGTTTCAAAGTTTTGTAAGTTTCTTGCAAGCTCACACTCATTCCATTTTCCCTTTCTTAATAAATCCCTTTGACCCCTTTGCTGAATTCTAAATTCTTAATCCTCAGGTCTGCTGCTAATTTTTAGCTAATTTGTACGCCCTTCTCAGGATCTAATACTATCCCGAATTTCCCTCAGTAGCCATAATTGTGCCACCATTGCCATTTTGTTTTTGTACTAGACAGGTATAAACAATTGTTGCAGTTCACCCTTGCACTCTTTAAATGTCTGCCATTGCCTATCCACTATTGTCACATTAAGTAACATTCCCCAATTTATCATAGCCAGCTTGGGCCTCACAGCATTGTAGTTTTCTTTATTTAGATTCAGGACCCTAGTCTGAGAATCAACTACATATATCAGGAAGCACATTGAAAATCAATTCAGACAAGAGTTTGTTTGTACTCTATGGGAAAAAAAAAATCAGCACCTTCCTCTTACATTAGTTGGTCAACCTGTTACAAAAATGAGTGTGTGTGTACAACTTCACTTTTGTAAAGTGTCTAAGGTCAATTTTCAGCATTAAAAACAGAAATGTAAGCTTTTGTTAATAATTCTGCTAGAAATAAAAAAGGTGTTTTTTTTTACACTTCGAGATTGAAAAGCAAATTATCACTAACCAAAAGATGGAAGGCTTGCTGCTTCTTTCTGACATTGAGATTGGTGAAATTGCAAACTACCTAGGACAACTCATGCCCTTACTCCCCGGTGATAATCATTTGGCCTCTGTCCAGTCCTCCTTATGACAATGTTGGTGAGAATCAGCGGCTTTCGATTATAACAGGGTGAGAAGTAGAACATCAGTGGGCTGCAGAACACTAGCCTATGTCCTATCCCTTGTGATAGTGTGTTAAGTTTTATGACAAAAACACACAAATACTTTCATGTGATTTCTTAAATAAATAAAACTATTTGCTCAAAATATCAAGTGGAGCAGAATACACATCTCCACTGTCTATGGAAGATTTTTTCCCCCATCAGTCATCAGGCACCTATTCCATTTGGCTTGAGCATGCCAAGTGGCTTGTCGAAGTGCATATCAAAAAGGTATAACTAGGGATGTTAGACCCCTGGTATAAATGCAATTTAGGTATCATTTCTTATATAGGGCAGCGGACACCATTCCACACATTATTGATCCACACACCTTCACTCTATCCTCATTCATCTCCTTGGTGTCAAAGACACATACAGTAATGCCTACAGGGAACTCTTTTTAGTCTGGTTTCACATTTTACGACTATCATAGGCTCTAATTTATCGTTGATTTATTGTTGTCACATGTACCTGAGTACACTGAAAAATTTTGCTTTGCGTGCAGTTCTGGCAGATCATAACAAATAAGGTATACAGATCATAGGGTGCTTAGAGTAAGGCATCCAAGGTTACAACCACACAGGAAGTGCACAAAAGCAAGGTCAACATTAGATTTGAAGTTAGCAGTCTTACAACAGCAGGGAAGTAGCTGCTCTTGCACCTGTTGGTGTGTGTTCAAGCTTCTGCATCTTCTGCCTGACAGAAGAGGTTATGTTGGTAGCCATGATGTAGAGGTGCCAGTGTTGAACTGGGGTGGTCAAAGTCAAAAATCACACAACACCAGGTTATAATCCCTAACGAAGGGGCTATACTCTGAAAGCTTGTGATTTCAAATAAACCTGTTGGACTATAGCCTGGTGTCATGTGATTTTTGACTTTCACAGAAGAGGTTGGAAGAGAGTATCATCAGGGTGGGAGGGGCCTTTGATGATGTTGGCAGCCTTTCTGTGACAACGAAAAGTGTAAACAAGTCCATGGACAGGACACTGGCTTCCGAGAAGGTCTGGGCCGTGCACTCAATTTTCTGTAGTTTCTTACGGTCCTGGGCAGAGCAGTTGCTGTACCAAGCCATTATGCATCCAGATAGAATGCTTTCTGTGGTGCATCTGTAAAAGTTGGTGAGGGTCTATAGGCAATGGAGGCTAGTACCACTATGAATCTGGGCTTCTCATATTTTTACTAGAATTGTTTTTGAACAATTCTACTCTATAACTTGGCTGCTGAGCATATCAAAGTTCATGAGCATTTCATTTACATTGCTGCTGTGTCATAACGGGTAGCCATGTTTATGCTGCTGTCAGATGATGAATCTTTAGATACTGATAAGATCATCATTCAAGTCTTCTGGTACTCTCTGAATGATATTGGATTTTGGCAGTAATCTTAGGTTTTGCTGTTGGTCACTATACACTGTTTGCCACATGTGGCTGTGTCTTATAATTTCACACTTCTAGGCAACACAATCCACAACAGTTTGATCCCGTGCTCAAACTCATGAAATGAGCACAAGTTTAAACACATGCTTGTAAGGTGGAGAACTGAAGTCAACTTCAAATGAGATTACAGCCATGAACTTGTCTAGATCTTGCTGCTTTTAAAGATGGATTAAAGAGAGTCACAAATGGTTCTGAATATTATGCAATCAATCATTAGTAAACATCCCCATTTCTGATGTCATGATTGAGGGAAGGTTGTGACGAAGTAGCTGAAGATGGTTGGGCTTAGAACACTACCCTGAGGAGTTCCTGCAGAGATGTCCTAGAGCTGAGATGACTGACCTCCAATAACCACAACCATCATCCTGTGCGCTGGGTATGATGCCAATCAGCAGAAAGTTTGCCCACAATTCCAACTGATTCCAGATTTGCTAGGACTCAGAAGCTAGCTGGCTGCTCCAAACTGGGCGGCAGTGAGCAGGTTATTGCTTCATAGCATTGTTTTTGACACTTTCCATTACTGTACTGATGACTGAGAGTAAACTAACAGGGTGGCAATTGGCCAGGTTGGATTTGTCCTGCTTTGAGCATGTGTGACATACCTGGGCAATTGTCCACATTGTTGAGTAGATGCCAGTGTTGTAACTGTACTGGAACAGCGTGGCTGGGGGTGTGACAAATTCTTCAGTACTACTGCCACAATGTTGTCAGGGTCTACAGCCTTTGCAGTATCCAATTGCTTCTTGATATCACGTGCAGCAAATCAAATTAGCATTCTTTCTATTTTTAGGTACTGCTTTATACTTCACAACGCAGGAGTAGAACAGAAATACTGCTAAACTTGGTGTCAGGTAATAATTATTTGAGGTCAGGACTCTCAAAAGCGCAGTCAAGATCTAACATAGAGCTGACCCAGCCAACACAACTTATCTTGTACTTACTCGTGCTGTTTGTATATTTCATCAAGATCTGCATTTACATTACTGCTTTGTGATTTTCTTATTCTTTCCAGTTCACGATCAAGTTCCAGGCGGTGTGCATTCTTCATCGCTTCAATAGCTTGTTTAAAAAAAAAATTAAGCTCAAAACTACAAGCACAAAAATACAAGTGAAAACATCAAAAAGACAAAAGAAACAGTAAATAATCAGCCTGATCCCAGCAGGAGGCTGCAATTTATATCATGAAGTACAATAAGTGCCCTTGTAGATTCCTCCCTACTTGTGCAAGTGGAATGAGGTCTTAAATATACGCAGAAGTTGAAGAATTGCGGATTCAAAGTTTCTTGACCAAGCCATTGAAGTCTTAAAACGTTAGTATTGCACCAATCATTTTTTTGGTGAAAATATCATACAATTTCTGCAACCAAATGTAGCTTTGTCACCACAGCATGGAAAATATGCATGACTGAGAAACAGTAGAAAAGGTAAAGTCATAGAATCATTACAGCATGGAAGCAGGCCATTTGGCCCACCGATTCCACACCGACCCTCAGAAGAGCATCCCACCCTGACCCACCCCTTATCCTATCCCTGCATTTCCCAGCCTAGACACTATGAGCAATTTAGCATAGCCAATCCACGTTTTTAGACTGTGGGAGGAAACCGGAGTACCAGGAGAAAACCCACGCAGACACAGGGAGAAGGTGCATACTCCACACAGACAGTCGCCTGAGGCTGGAACTGAACCTGGATCCCTGACGCTGCGAGGCAGCAGTGCTAGCCACTGAGCCACCATGCCGAGTTGGGTTTGGAAAATCTTAGACTGTACAGAAAAGGATGACAATACAGGCAGGGAATTTCAGTTTTCAAGCCCCAGAAAAGAACAGGTTGAAGTGGGACAAGTGACAATGCACTCATCCTACTTGGTGTCAGGTCTAAAGGGAGATCAGAAATCTCCAAACACCTTTACAATGCCCTTGAAAGCTGAGATTAAAGGTACTCTTCAAATTGCAGAATTTTCCCAGCTTATGCGCTACTGCTGAAAATAAAAGCATGCTCTGATATTCACTGAACAAGATCAATATAAATTCAGCAACACCATCAGTATGGTCCACCCCCAATGGAACCACTGCAAATATAGTCAGTTTTAAGAAACATTTGTGGTCATACACATTTCCCACATCCACAAGACTTTTGTTCATTTTCTCTTTGCCCTTCTCAAGTTACTGGTATCAAGATCCATGCATAGACCAAACAGGATGGACCCACTTGTTACACTTCCAGAATTGTTGACTGCTTTCAGGTTTGGCATTGTAATTAACAAATGCAGAATCAAGACGGATGAACGAACGAACGAAGGAAGAAGTGTTTTCTCCCCCCAGAATACCTACACTTCACAAAACAAAATCACCCCAGCTGCAGAAACAGAATGTGTCAAAGATATCTGAAAAGAGAACATTTAGCCCAATGTGCATGCATTTTTAATAGGATCGATTTCAATATGACCTCATTCACACACCAATGTGAAAAAGCATATTTTTGGTAAAGTTAAACAGGGATGCAGCATAGGTTTTCTTGGGAACAGTTCCAGGATTGTGCAATAAGAAAAATAGTTGAATTTCAACTAAACGAGGTCTGTTCATTTTAATTCTGAAATCAATTTTTACAAATGTAATTCTGGACAGAGAAAGGGGGCCTGTGGGGTAAACAAATGCAATCCATTTATGATTTCACTGGGAATTTCCCCACATTTGTTTATGTCACTGCACATAAAGACAAGAGGAAATCTTTTCCACAGAGGGTAGTATGCTGAAAGTTCACCAGGGAAATGTGGTTACAGAATCCAAGCCAAATGGCTGAACTTTACTGGAACTGAACTCAGCACTACATTTTCAAATCAAAGGCTGAGCTCCACATCCGCAACTATATATCATTATAACCTCATGGTTTCCTACAAACTACATCTCAGAGAACTAAACTTATCCACTCACTATGATAAAACTTTCACTGGAATCCACGAAAATTTATTGAAATTTAAATGAATCACAACTTAGCATCAATTATGACATACACATTTTGTCCAGTTATCACTGATTTTATTTAATTGTACCTGTATAGTGCAGTTTGCTGTTTTGTCTTTATTTTCACTACTGGGTTGGCAACAAACACCAAGTTCATTTCTCAAAATTCTCATTGTAATCACATTGGCCTATAAGTAGTAATGCTGGACTCTACAGGACAAGTTTAAAAAGCTGTTGACAGATCAACAATATTTTTCTTATCTCTAAATTAAAATACTACCTTGAGCATGAAGGTAAAAAAAAGGCTGCAACTTTAGCCATACAGTCTATAGTCTACAGCCATAGATTATATTTTAGAAAAATGCTCTGTTGCCTTATGCCATTACAGCGTAATCTGTTGGTTTGAAAAGACTTCCTATTCTTCCAATGTCAATTCTAAAAAGCACATGCAACCCATAACAATCCAGTTCACAAAACCCAAAGAACTCATTTTCTTCGTGCTTATACGTTATACTTGCTGATTTAACCTGCTTGAGATCCGTAAGCTCACTGAAAAATGCAATGTATACTTTGGCAGGTAAATACTTTATACAACGATTGATTTATTGTTGCTGGTAACTAAAAATACACAACGATAAGCTGACCTAAGCTTCATAACAATATCAGACAGTATTTTCCCTCTTTATTCTCAGTCCCTGTTGAACTATTTAAATAGCTTTATACAAAATGGAGAGCTGGGCAACTCTTTTGGAGAGATGGAACAGCACATCATAAGTGTGATGTGAATGAACAGTTTCTCACTAGAGCAAGTGCAAGAACTCTTGACACATTCTGTTCAAACCCATCCATAATTTGGACACTCAAGCTACATATCCTTGGCAGCTTCACTTTTTTGGAAGGGATTTATAACAACTGATGTGGGGTGACCTGGTGATAAACAGGGTATTTTCAGATGTAGGAAGGTTACCGTTTTGCAAACAATGAGATTTTAATGGTCCCGTCTCCTTTCAACCCAGGACACATGCATTTCATCAAGTATTGCCTAATACACATTATATTGACCAAGTCACAAAGTTTTCATTCTTCCTGTGCAAAATTGGTATAAACTATTCAGGACACAAGAGAGTTAGTAATGCTGCCCCCCAGAAGGATGAACGTTATAAGTGGAACTCGTGTAATACTCAGGACTCGTATTAAGAGCTTAATTGTTGTCCGGAATCAAAAGATTTGCATTCAGTTAAGTTAGATAGTATCTTACCACAGAAATACTACAATCCATTTCAATGGATATTACCAAGAAATTGTGGCAAGGTGCGTGGATGATGCCCTAATTATGTGAAAGTGCATGGTGCATTATTTGAAGAATAAACATCATTGGTTGGATGCATGTGAGCAGAAGAGGATTAACTGCCACATTAAAAGTTATTATGGAAAACAAAAGCTCATGGTGGATAGGGTAGCATATTGGCATTGATTAGTCAGCAGAGAGTAAGCATGGATGGATCTTTTTCACTTTGGCAAGAAGTAATGAGTGATGTCCCAAAGGGATCAGTACTGGGACCGAACTATTTACAATTTATATAAATTACTTGTATGTGGAGTTAGAAGGAATGGTTTGCCAAGTTTGCTGATGACAAAGATAAGATGGAAAGTAACCTGAGAACAGGACAGAAAGAGGCTGCAAAAATATATGTAGATTGGTTAAATGAGTGGCAAAGACATGGCAAATGGAGTATAATATGGGAAAATGTGCATTGTCCATTTTGGTAGAAAAATACAAAAAAAATTACACAAATGGTAAGGGATTGCAGAGCTCTGAGATAGAGGGATCCCAGTTTTCTGATACAATAATTCACAAAAGATTAGTATGCAGGTATAGTAAATAATTAGGAAAGCTAATAAAAGGCTCTTTTTTACCACTAGAGAATTGAACACAAAAGTAGGGAGAGGTTATGCTTCAGTTATACAGGACACTAGTGAGACCACATCTGGAGTACTGATCATTTTTTTCAAGGAAAGATGTAAATACGTTGGAGGCAGTTCAGGAAAGTTTTACCAGACTAATAGCTAGAACAACTGGACTTTCTTATGAGTAAAGGGTACAGAGGACAGGCTTGTATCTGCTGGAATTTGGAAGATTAAGAGGTGAACCACAAAAGAGCTGAGGGGAGGTGACAGGCCATGCCAAAGACTTTTTTTCCTCTTATGGAAGAATCTAGAACTGAGAGTCACTGTTCAAAAATCAGGAGTCACCCATTTAGAACAGAGATGAAGTGATTCTTTTTTCCCCCTCAAAGGGTTGTAAGTCTTTGAACTCTCTTCCTGAAAAAGCTTGTGAAGAGTCCTTGATTATTTCTATGGCAGAAACAGATAGATTCTTGTTAAGCAAGGCAGGGTGGGGATTCAGATTTGAGGTTCCAATCAGGTCAGTTTGGCTCTTAATGAATGGCAAAACAGGCTAAATGGCCTATACCTATTCATACGTTCATATCTATTGCATCCACAGTTTTAACTCGATGACGCAACTTTACTCTATCACTTCCACCTTCAATTAAAAGGCGTGCTGAATACCTCCAGCAAAATGAAAAGTATGTTCAAAAGCACAAGGGGTTTTAAGAAAGGGAGTGGCAGATCAATTTAGGTTTGTGCCATGAAATGAGCAAAACAGAAGAGTTACCTTTGTCTTTTTTCTGCAATCAAATAACTCCTTCATTTGAAGGCAGGTACAAAAGACCAGAATGATTGCATCTGTGATATTGTTCCATGCAGCTGACATGTGTACTTTTATATTGGAGGATGGCTTTTGGTTTCAGGTAGCATTACCTTTAACGATGAATTTATTGCAGCAGGACATTTAACTGTGTGGTTCATGTCTCCACTATACCACCAAATAATTATATAACTATCACAATCACAACTTTCCCTTCAATGGTGCGTTACCACAAGCTTTTCTGATTCATAGCCAGAAATTCTGTGTGGCAAGCCTTCCATGTGCCAGTAATCTGTTCGTATTACAAAGAGAAACTCCAGTCCAAACATTTAGTGCAGTATGGCTCAAGCAAGTCAGCACACAGGTCAATGCAAATACAAAAATCAGAGCTTAGGAGTCCAAACATATATTTAGCTTAACCCATTCTACAGGTGATTGAAATTTATCGTAATCCCTGAAACAGCAGCTTTAAGTACATTTCCAATTCAATGATGTATCATTTATATTTTTGATAAGTAGAAAATAGAAAATCTGTATGATGCAATGCATGGCAATTATACTGTTAAATCCATCAAAACTATAAACTGTCTCTTGCGTTGCCACATGGATGGATACATTTTATTATGCTGAATGTGTTACAAATTCCAGCCTTTATATGCAATTAGAGGAGTTTGGAACAATTTGTACATCAGCTTACATTCATTTAAAGTGCATGCCAGATTTCCAGCAAGTGTTTAGAAAATTCATGTACCCAGAAATCAGTCAATTAATTTCAGAATTTGGTAAAGGATAGCATATAATGTTACCACAATAAACAATGTGTGCCATGGACTTAAATGTATAAATGAAAACAAACTGTTTCAATCGCTGCCAAAGTAGTATCAGTTCTTCTATCATCCACCTAACCATTTTGATATTTGTTCTCTCCTTTCTCTGAGCACATTCTTTAATCAAAGGGTCTTGTTGATTTGACTAGGGTGGCAATACTTGCCTCAAAACAATAAAGCCCAATTCATATACCGAATCTTGGTTGACATATGCCCACCTCTAAATCTACGTGTACGTGCGTTGCCTGTGTTGGACAAACTGCACTAATGGCAATTGCAAAGGTGCTGTTTACAACATATAGCTATGACAGCCTTTTGAGATGCTTGGTGGCTGAAAGATGCACCCATTCTCAGATGCTGTATTTCGGAGAAGGGGCCTTTAGAGCCTTCATCAAGGTAATAACATCGACATTTTAGTAGCATTTAGATGTGCCCTTGCAATGCCAAAGGATACAATGAACAGGACAAGTGCTGAAAAACAGGATTAGAATAGTTAGGTTTTGTTTTAGTTGTTTTCCTCTAGCACTGACTCAATGAGACGAAAGGCCTTTTTTTGAGCTGTAGACCGATTAATCTGACTTTCTTTTGCAGCATCTCTGCATCTTAAAATAAGGAGTTTACCCAGTGCATCCCTCCAACTACCAGTTGTATTACAATTGTAGTTGTGATAACTCAGTAGTAAAGATTCTGAAGAGGAGTCACCAGACTGCAAACGTTAACTTTGCCTTCTCCCCACAGATGCTGCCAGACCTGCTGAGTTGCACCAGCAATTTCTGATTTTGTTTCAGTTTCTGTATCCACTTACAGCAAACAAATCAATATCAATATGACTGTTCAAAACAATGGGTACTATAATTGGCAGAAAACAGTTTATGTCTATGCTATCGAGGATGTCTATTGGGCAATATTACACTCAACAATAATCAATAGATTAGGCAACATCAGTGTGTCAGAATTTTGATTATTTTACTAGGTGGACAAAATAGAGACCCTCCCAATTTAAATTCACAAAGATACCAATGAGAAATACCATCTTCATCCATTCCTCACATACCAGAGATGGTGGCAGCTGTCTCTTCAGCTAACAGCCGCTCTTTGTCTTCCTGTAGGTTCTCTAGCTCTCGTTGGTGCTGTCGGTGAAGCTCTTCTATTACCTTCTGATGTGATTCTTCCATAGCAGAAAATCCACGTTCACATGTAGCCTAAAGATCAATGAGAGAAAAATAATGAGAAATCTTTTTCAAAATCTCAAATAGTGCAGGCAGTTGTGATCTTAGCTGACTTTTCCCTTGGTCAAACTCGAGTTTTTTTCAAAATTTTTAAAAATCAATCAATTTTGTACTATGTGGAAAACATTATTTACTTACTTTTACTTATTTAGTTTCTTAAATTATATTAACATGGAATAGTAAATAAGAGCTTTTCTTTAAAGGGCACATAGCAGCAAAGAGGACAAGGTAATAACAAGGGAAGAACTGCTCTAGTAATTATGAGCAACATCACAAATACATTCAAAGGAATGCATTTACAAAAGTGCCACATACTGCGGTTTTCCCTAACTGTATTCAAAACTTGCCCTTTCACCGCTGGGGCCTGTGTTCAAATCCAGCTGGGGAGAAGATGAGTCAAACAAGTGCTTTCCAGTTATAATTTTAATCCAGTTCTCCATGGATAACGAAAACTGCCCTTGGTCCTATATAAGAGAATAAAGACTATGTTCTGAGCGCTTAACCACTAGCTTACTAGATGCATAATTGAAGCAAATACCATTGAAGACAACTCTCTAGAATACAAATCAATAATGATATAGTAGGATTTATTGTGCAGATGCAATATATTTAAGAGCTAATTGCAAAACGTGACAGTCCAGCTGGTGTCAGAACTGCAGGTTCTTTTGGTGACATGATGCTAGTTTAATATGCATTACAGGAATTTTTTGGGCTGATTTTAAAGCTTTATTTCAACTGCTTGGTTTTATTTTCTTCCATTTTCCTTCTCCTTGTGTAAAAAAAAAGAGTAGGCCATAATTATAGTGAGATTTCACAAAGGCTGACCATTGTTTGGTACCTTAGCATTCCTTATATGAATTTGGATAATGAATGCTTGCATATTCCAACTGTGGGCAGCATCAAGAGTGACCTTGTCCTCATCCGTATCTATGCAAAGACGTTTAAACAGGGGTCCTTTGAAAGCGATTACAAGGAGGAACCCCAAGCTTATTATCTCTTTCCCAGCCCAATCATGTGGGCATCATTAGAACAGCCTAAATATTGCCTTGTTCATACCAACCAGCATCTCAGGCTGTGTGTGTACATTATCAGATTTTCCTATTAGGTCACAGAGAAACTTCTCCTCTCCCTTCATTACACACCAGCTAAAAGGATGAACAGTTGGCTTCTTATGTCTGACAGTGCTACTCATAAATGCAGCCAGTGTTATTTTCCTCCCGATGTTTTGCACATCTCAGATTGAATTGTAATTAGATGTATGTGTGCGACCAGTGTACATGTAAAGTTTAGGATTTAACAACTCGTGACTTAGTCTACAAACCACAAAATTCAAAACAATACCCAAGGATAATTAAAAAGAGATCTAAGAAAACCACTAGCTCTCAGATCATAAATGACTAGGGTGGCTACGACCGAGAGGTTCAGCCCATAACAGTTTCCACTAATGTGTCGAGTTACTCCAGTACCTTATTAATGGTATTTCTCAAGAATGCTGTTAGGCTTTATATTGCAGGGTTTCCTCACAGCAAGAGCAAGATGACCAGGAAGGCAGTGATATCAAGTGGTCAAGTATGTGCTTTTCCTACAATACTATGCTGCATATAGAGTCTCAGAATATCCAATGAAAAAAGATAACATCTCACCAATTAACTTTTAGAAAACTGTTCAATTGAGTATATTAATACCGATTGATTTTTTCTCCCCCATTCTGCACCGGTAGCTTTCATCCTTTCTTCAATAACATCAGCAATTACAAAGTTTGCATTTAGTAAACTGACAACTGAGCTGCAATAAGTGGCTTAAAAATGACAGGAAACTACTGAGAATTATTGGACATGACTGTCAAGTGAAAAATCATCCTATTAAGTTGCCTTTTTACTTCTAGGTGACTGTGCTTACATATACATACTTGTCAAGCAGAATGTCAGCAGCAAGCTCATCTTCTATAAGAAGTTAGGAGGACATATGAGATTGCTATTATTGTATTGGTTTTGTTGAATTATTTTAATAGGAACAGAAGCAGGCCAGTCAGCCACTCGAGCCACTGAATTAGATCATGACTGACCTGCGGTTTCACTCTATATACCCATTTTTGGACCATATCCCTTGATACCTTTGCTTAACCAAAGGCATTTATCTCAGATTTAAATTCTAGAGAAAACAGGTGTAATTTTTATAATCTCTCATCATAACCTCTACAGTCCAGGTCTTATTCCTGCAAACCTACACAGTACTCCCTTCAAGGCCAATATATCCTTCCTAAGGTGTGCCCACATCCAATGACTACAATTTTCTGGGAAAGGAAGATTAATAGAAAAAGACTCTTCCACCTGTTCACCTCTTCTATTTCAGGGAACATTCAAAAAGAGTTTTGCTTTTCACAATCTGGTTTATAGGCAGCACAAATGAAGTTCAATTTATAAGCTGCACATTTATCCTACTTTGCTACTGCAAACTGAAATACTGAATCATTCCCTTTCGGGACAAAATCTGAGTTTCATTGTTTATCTTGTTTCTTTGAACTGTCAGAAAAAAACTATTCTAGACAGCTATGGACAAACAGCTGTGGAATTTTCCATTACAAATTTTACCCTCTAAACAGCAAAGCACATTACTTCCTGTGAGAAAGGTCACTAATGTGAGGCAACACAGCCAAGCAGTGCAAATATTCACCAAAACACATTGTGTCAACAAACTTCATTTAAAACAAGTTATTCGGAAGGATTCGGTGTACTACTTCTTCTAGAATTCTTTATAATAATTTTAGATTGATTCACAATTTAGAAAACAGATTTGTCAAATCACAGCCCTTCAGTCTTTGGTCACTAAGGTAGAGACCAAGGGGAAGAATTCTCTACAACCTAAAGCAAATCTATTAATCACGATAGAAGCTATGACTTTGAAACTTTCTGGGTTTTTGACTGACCTCAGGAAAGCTGCTGTTGTGTGGAAAATTGCTGTGTACCCAGTCAGAAGTATTCCAAATCAGTTCTTCACTGGCCCAAAACACAAACTTACAGCAATCATTGTAGCCACTGCAAGATGCTCCAAGTCAGTGACTAGATGTACTATCCTAACATACTAAAAGATTTTCCATCATTAGATTACAAAAATCAACCAGTGCTCCAACACATAATGGGAGTGTATTTAATCAAATTTCTTCCTACTGGATCTGCCTCTGTACAATATACAACAGATCTGGTTTGAACAACATCTCCTTGACCAGTCTCAAATTCCATTCTAAGATTTTAGCTTGCACCAAAAATTTAACAGAATCTAATAAATGCAAATAAATCCATGCAGTTAGAGATGTGAAAGTAGGCAGTACACTATCGGCAAAAATGTTCAAAAATACAACAAATATAAAATATAAACAGAAAGTGATGGAAATGCACTGCATAGCAATCAAAATCTAAACAGAAAGTTATCCTAAACTTTTGACCCCATTTATCAGAACTGAACAGTATAATATATTCTGATGAAGGATCACAGCAGAAACAATAATCAGACTTTCTCGAACTGTTGCGCAACTCCAGAAATTCCTATTTCTCAGGTTTTCAATGCTTGTTTACACTTTTTGTTTTTACTTGGTTAAATATTATTTACACTTATTTAACCCTCTTGTATAAATGGTTCATTTCGTCCACCTTGACTTGCTTTGATAACTCAGGAGCGACTGAACAGCAAATTCAAAACGGATTCCAACATACATTTGTATGCTTTACTATTACATTACTTTACTGGAACACAAAAATTAATGCTACTGCCACAGCTCTCTAGAAATATATTCACCATTTCCTGTGCCCCACAAGCTGTTGACTTTTCAATGGCACACAGACCAAATACTGCCAAATCATCCACCATTAGTTCAATCAAGCAGCCAATCTTCTTCACAGCACATCAAGTCAATAATCCAAAAATTGCTCGTTGGGTCAACCGATGGCCATTAGGAATCAAAACCATGCGAATTTCCCCCCACCCACGAACAATGCCTTGTAGGAAATGATCTTAAGTCAGCATACATCATGAGCTGAGCTACGGGTCCTAAAGATTAATGTGACATTTAATGTTATCACGGAAAGAGAATGGTCATTTATTGGATTTGAACTCAAGCTGCCAGAGAAAAAAAGGGCACTATTTTCTTCGTCACCCAAGCACTTTGTCACTTGGGACAACTTAAAGCCTTTTGAACAGAATGAAATGTGACCTCTTCCTAAATATAAAATATAATAAATTTAAGGATTTTACAGCATTTCTTGATAAGCAAATAAGTTGCTAGTTTTTAGTGCCTCAAAAGGTGCGATAGAGATATGTAGCCAGCTGAAAAAGAAGGGAGAGAGAAAAGGGAGATTCATATATTAGTAGCATAGCATCAAGGCAAACAGCAAAGGGCAACACAGCCATCAATTTACATTATTAAGCACACTAGACAGCTATGGAGAGATTTTTTTTAATCAAATGCAATTGAACCCACTGTTCTGACAATCGTAAATCTAAAATATTTAATAAAAGTTACAAATAATATGATTCAAAAATATTGGAACTAAGAGGAAAGTTATTCTTAATGTGCAGCCTTGTTTTGAAGAAAACAGTTTGTAGCCTTTTCTTAGGATCTTTGTTAAAATTTTTGAAGGTCTTCTAGTTGACAAACCTTCTTAAAATGGGCAAATATTTACATTGGTCTGATCAAATGATTCAATACATGAAGAATAAATTAATGGCAAAGGGTATATAGGAACAGTAAGATGTAATTATTTATTATATAATCCAAGGTATACTAATCTCTTGATCTCAGGATATAGGACAAGTCATTTCATTGAATTTATTTGGACAGTACCCTCTGTTCTTTCAAGTACAGCATACATTTAATTGTTGATTAATTCACCAAAACAATCCAGTTGCATAATAGAAAAATGGGTTCTTCTGTATTTGAAAGGATTGCCTAAAAGCACAGTAAAAAGAAGAACTGGGCAAATTTCAGATACAATTCAAATGCAGTCATGTCATAAAGCCAGGTGGGTTCAAGACAAAGGAGTTTTTAAACAATAGATTCTTATGCTAAGTTATGCAATTAGTTTCTTACTGTTCAGCAAATTTTGCATCTGTAGTATTTGTTTCTTTCTACTATTTCCCCAGAATTTGCAAAGTTTACTCTGCATGATTTTGCCCAGTTCAACAGTATATCATGCAATTCTATCCTCCATGCAGACCGAGTGACAGAACAGAACACAAACAAAATTGCTGCCAGCAAGGTGTAACACTACAAGCAACATGCAGATACTAGTCAGTATTATTAAACACACGGACACCTTGAGATTCTCCAAGTCCTTTTCATATTTCTCCCGCAGAGTTGTAGAGCCGACTTCAATCTTATTTTTCATGACATCTATCTGGGACTCCAGCTCTTGTACGCGATTTCTCAGCAAGGTCACAGAATGTGGCTCATTTGCTGTCTCTCTGTACTGGTCAGTGGATCTTTGCAGATCACATACAATGTCCAACTCTTGGGGATTGCTACATTCTTTTAAAGTTTCTATTTCATGTGTGAGCTCTTCTTTTACCCTAGCAAACCTTTGCTCCAGCTCTCTCTTCTCCATTTTAAATTCTTCTCGTCGTCTCCTGAGCTCTTCAACATGCTTTTCCTTTAAATTCTCCATGCAGACTGTCAATGAATCTATTTCCTTCACATTTTCTTCAGTTTTCAGTCTCAGTGTCTCCCCTGCCCTTGTTATCTCCCTTTTTAATTTCTCCACCTCTGCTTCATATGCTTCTCTCACTTCCCGTAGCTCCTTCTTATGCCTTGCTGCCATGTCCTGCAGTTCAATAGCTTTGTCTAATGAGTCAATTGGTTCTCCCTCAATTTGGATGTGAGTTGTTCCTGCACAAATGCCCGATTGTGAAATATCCAATTTTTTAAACTCCGCAATCTCTTCTTTTAATTTTTTTAGCTCCAAATCCTGTTCTTCCTTAAGATTTTTCAGCTCAGCTGCATGTTTGCTGTGCAACAAAGTAATGAAGTTTGAGTGTTCTATCTTCATAGCCTCCAATCTTAGCTGTATATTCCCACTTTGTGCAAGGTCATGCTTCAATTGAAGCCTGGAGATTACATATGATAATTCAGCCTGTATCACTGCATCCTGGAGCAGAAAAGGCCACATGATTTTTGAATTACTATGTCTGCTCAACGCAGGTATATAATCCATGCTGTGAACAAGCCCTCTGGCCAAGAGGCCGAGGTCATCATCTGCGCATGACTGAATGGAGCTTGACATTTTCTTCAACATGCAAGCATTTCTCCTAACTTGTTGTGCTAACTCCGCCCTTACTTGAAGTTCAAAATCTTGGCCAGCAGAAACCGATGCTACTGGTAGTTTGAGGGATTGTGAACATAAGAACAGCGATTCACCTTCTTCATCACTGTTCAGTTCACTACGAATTTCCTCAACCAGCCCATCAAACCTACAAGTGCCATAAGCATCTATAACACTCCTGAGCATCTGTTTATGGTTCTGGTTTCTGTGATGCATTTTCATATATTGGGATTTCAAATGCTGCAATTTTTCTTCTGAAGCCTCCAAGATATTGTGAGCCCAGTACATAATTTCACCTTTTACCAAAGCAACGTTTGCCATCATTTTGAGATAACTTTTCATGGGTTCATTCAATTGCTCTTCGATGCCTGTTGTCTTGCTTTCATGAATCATAGGAAAATTTGTCCAAAATTCTCCTTCAATTAATAACTTGTTGAGAACGGACTGTCCTATTTGACCACTGACTTCTTCCAGTGAAGCCAAAGTAATGTTTTCACTGTGTTTTCTAATTTCATCTAAAGTACTTTTTATACCAGAGTCAGAATTCTGCAAAGCATCGGCAATATTATCAAGTGTTGCTGCTTCAAGTGCCAGTTTGTCAACTAAATATTGTAGCTTTTCCTCCTCTGTTAAAGAGGCTTTTATTAAATATTCTTCACTAAATAATGTTCTATTTTTTCTGCCTAGATCTTCTTCCATTTGTTGCAAGTATTGTACTGAACTTCGTAATGCATGTAGCAAGTCAGACAATTGTCTATGTTGTTCTGTGTCCCATCTTTGAGCAAGTTGACCAGTTTTCTGCTGTATATCTTCCAAAACATGTCGGAACTCAAGCAGTTTAGTTTGCAGTGCTTGGAATTCAAAGTTTGCAGCTTGCATTAGTATCTGAAGTTTGACATTTGAGTTGGAAAGCTGTTGAGAAAATGACCAAGTTAATGACTGGTTCTCTTTTACCTGCTCTTTTAAATGAACCCCAGGGTCTAACAGCCCTCTGTGATTTTTAACATTACAGTGCAGACTTGCTGATGCATCTAAAGGACAAGCAGTTTCTCCTTTAATGTTTTGTTCTGTTATCAATAGTTTAGTTTCAAGTGTGCATATAATTTCCAGGCATTTTTTCAGATCTATTACACAACTACCTGCTGTTTTGCAGTATGAACTTTCAGTATTCAGAGAGGATGGCAGTCCTGAAAACCAACTTTCGGTGCATGTTTGTACCACTGAACCAGTCACTGCTGATAACTGGCTCTCCAAAAGCTGAAGCCTTGCCATTAATTCTTTCGAAAGCTGTGCAATAGAACTCATTGAGATTTCAACCTCCTCTGGTTCAGATGAACGGCTTGTGGCATGAAGAATATTTTCAACTGCTGAACTACTTACGAGGCTTCTTCTTGTTACATGTTCAATATTTTTTCTTGAAGTTTCCATATCTGACTGGAGTTTTTTGTTTTGGGAAAGAAGCTCTTTATAATTGTTTTCAGTTACCTGCAGTTTTACCTCCTGTTCAACTAACCTGGCTTCAGCATCTTTTAACTTGCTTTGAAGTTCTTCTTTCTTCTCTATCAGCATATCAATATCTGTTGGTACCTGCCATCCAAGGCCTTTAAGTGTAGCCTCTTTAAGTTGAAGTTTCTTTTCGGTCTCCTCTAAGCTGGTACCTAGAGCTTCCAGCTTAATTAAAGCCTCATTGAAGTCTTTATTTTTCTTTTCAAGTTCCCTATCATAAGATTCCTTCAGTGATACCATTTTAAGATTGTTTTCTTCCATTTCATTATTGAGTTTATTCATCTCTTGAATAGCTTTGTCAAAATCTTCATTCAAATCTCTATATCCTGCTCGCTCCTTCACCAATTCTAATTTCAGTCCTTCAACCTCTCTATCAGCTTCTGTTAACTGATTAACAATTTCCTGATGATGTTGTTGCAATTGTTCATTCTCAGCTGACAAGATGTCGATGTCATGGGTCAGCCTTTTCACTGTGCCTTCAGTCATCTCAATATGTTCTTCCATTTGCCTCACCATTTCACTGCTTTTGAAAGAGACAGCCAGTTTTTCTTTTTGAGCTCTCTCCAACTGAGCCTCAAGAGTCTGCAGACGATCTTCATATTCTCTAACCTTCTCTTCAGCCTCTTGTACAACGTGTGACAGAATATCCTTTTCCTTTTCATATTTTTCTTTCAGGCTCTCATATTGTTTCTGAAAACGTTCTTCACTCAAAATGACCCCCTGCTCACTATTCTGCAACCGACTGGTTACTCCTTCTAGGTGCTCTTGTAGTCGCTTTACTTCTCGCTGATAGTCATCCTGAAGAGCAATTTGTCTTTCTAGATCCCTAAAAGCTTGTGTTTTTTCAAGAAGTAGCCCCTCTACTTCTCGAAGCTTCTCTTCACTCTCTTGCAATTTATTGCTAAACATGCTTAGTTTTCTCTCGTACTCGTCCGCTTGCTCTTTATACTTTTGACGCTCAAGGCGCAAATCATTTTGTGCTTTAGATAATGACTGTTCATTAATGGCAACCTCTGATAAAGAAATGTCCAATCTGGCCTGAAGGTTTTGCATTTTTGTCTCTTGTTGTCTCAGGAGCTCCTTGGCATCCTGATAGCTTTTTTTTAGGCTTTGAGCTTGCGCATTTACCCCTTCCTGTTTCTGTTGTTGAACTTCCAGCTCAGCTTGTAGATCCTGGTTCAGCTTCTGTAGCTGCTGCCAGGCATTTGAACTTGCCAAAGGTGGCTCCAGCTTAGAAAAGGGGACCAGACAGTGGTTAACACAGATGTACAAGATTTTTGAATAAACTGTTTACTATTTGCTTCTCAGTTCCACAATGGAGATTTAAAACAATTATTGGTTTGTAAATATATTGTTCTTCATGTAGATTTGAAAACTTCAGCATTATTCAGCAAGTAAATGGCCAAACTATTATCTATTAGATGCAAAATTAAGCAAAAAAAAAAAAAGAGCAAAAAGCATTCTGCACTATTTAAGAAATAATAAGGTTAGTATCTTAGAGAGCATGCAAATGAAAGGTGAGCATTATTGGTCAGGAAGCAAGAAATATCAATACATGGTTAGCATACAATAATCAACATACAGACAGGGAATTTTTCTATTTGTTCCTGAAAACCAGTGAATCATTTCATCAAAATTCTTAAAGCTACCAAACACCTTTTCATTATAATCAGCTCTAGATTTGTTGCTTAACCTGACCTTTAAAATCCCAAAACAAGTGTTCTACATGTCCACCCAGCCTATCCTTTTCTGATGTAATCATACATCAGTAATTAGCTTGGTTAGCTACAACAATCTATGGCCCATTATCTAAAGAATAAAAGTCTTAAGCAAGGAGATAAGGATGCATGTTCAAACTATGAGAGTCAAAGCACAAGAATTTAAAACATACTGCAAAGACAACTTAAAAATGAAGTAATTATCCAAACTGCGATCTACTTGTACTGACAAAATGAAGTTGTTTTATTTATTCTAATGTTCTACATTAATTTTTGGTTAACCTAGTGCACCTATACACCACAACAGCAGCAGTAATTACAACTCCAGTAAATGCACATTGGGAAAAGTGGAAATGGATATAAAATCATTAAATAAAATTCTCCAAGACAGCAGAATTAAAAGTTAATTTCAAACTGTCTAATGTCACCTCGTATTGAGCCATGCAGTATGTTAGCTCATTTAGTACTTTCCCTGTTGTTTCCAGATAAATGTTTTATTTGGGAACTGCTGTGCTTAGAATGGTGCTATAGCCACTATCATAAATGTTTTGCTTAATATCTCTTGACAATCTTTCATTTTTAGAATTTTTTTCTTCATTCACGAGATGAGGGCGTCGCTGGCTAGGTAGCATTTATTGCCCATCTCTAATTGCCCAGAGGGCAGTTAAGAGTCAACCACATTACTGTTGTTCTAGAGTCACATGTTGACCAGACCAGGTAAGGATGGCAGTTTCCTTCCCTAAAGGGCATTAGTGAACCAAATGGGTTTTTCCAACAATCAGCAATGGGCTCATGGTCATCATTAGACTCTTAATTCCAGATATTTATTGAAATCAAATTCCACCATCTGCCATGGCAGGATTCAAACCCAGGTCCCCAGAACGTTATCTGGGTCTCTGGATTAACAGTCCAGCGATAATACCACTAGACCATTGCCTCACCAATTCATTTTGGAAAAAAAAGTGCGATAATTTTATGTATGTTTTTAGTAACTTTCAATAGTTTTCTATATATAAATGATTTGTGTGACATCAGTTTTTTTCAAATAATACAATTTATTTAAATAGAGGGCACCAAACATTCGTTAATGACAATAGCAGCAAAATTTTCAAATAGACGTTGCAAAAGAGAAATGACCAAATTATTGTTGCATGAAGTTGGTAGCAGTTCATTGGTCAATGCAAAAGCTTACCAAATGGGAAAGAATCTTGTCAAGGGTAATAACAAAGAACCAAAGCAATCAAGAGATAAGTAGGGTTGAAGGTGCTCATAAATGAAATTGGCAAATCTGCCTCGACCAAGGAATTTGCTAGAAATTGTAAGCCTTGATACAAATTAAAAGTGCTTCACAGGATTATTTTAAGACAAAGTATAGCAGAGCAAGCTCGTAAGAGATATTAGATGAGAAGATCCAAAGCTGTGTCACAGAGGTATGCTTCACGAAGTATCTCAATAGAGACAAGTGAAGAAAAGATGGAGTGAAATTCAGGTGGTTAGGGCCCAGGCAACTGAAAACATGACCACTGAAAAAAGTATGATCAGGAATGTGAAAGAGGCCTGAATTAGAGTGCAGAAATCTCAGGGTTGTAGGGTTGAAGGAAATTTTTCTTTCAATTTATGTTTTCATGGGGCATAGGGGTAGCTGACGGAGCCAGCATGCATTTCCATGCCCAAGTTCTTTTGAACTAAGTCCGTGGTCAGGCTGTTTCAGAAGACAGTTCGGAGGCGAACACCGTGCTTTGGATCGGGAATCACACAGCCCAGATTTTGAGTCAAGTGATGTTAGAGAGGTAGACATAGGCGTTTGTAGAGATGGCATGGAAGGTCTTACGTTTCTGATAACCTACTTGGGCCTTGAGCCTGTATTGACTACACAGAAGTGAAAATTAAAACTTTAATGAAAGCAGAATGGTCTATTGAGAAGGTAACCAAAAATGACTGATTGAGCCGGAAGCAAAAACAAAATCAAATTGCTTTTGCCACATTAAAAGATTGTTTCACTTTACAACTAACATTGTAGCAAGTTACTTAGAGCTTGACATATAATAAGCAGGAAAAGATAAAAGTTTAAACATAAAAGTTTAAACATTATTAACATTAAAAACTTTACATCTGCATACACTTCTGCAGAATTTGACTCAATTAGTATAATTTTGCCAAACACTTTCCCAAACTAGTTTAGTGTTGGGCTATTCTACTATCTCTCCATTTTGCAGCATTTACCCAATACAAGTCATAACATAACGTATATAAAAATATCCAGATGGCCAATTTCATTGCAAACTGGAAACCGTACAGAAAACCATTCAGCTTTGAACTAGATTGCTTTACACACAAGCCATAAGATATGAACATAGCTAGACGGAGCTGAGGGAAACTGACTTCTACCTCAAAACTGTCTCTTGGTGATTAAAGAAATACTACCATTTCTGAACCACAACATGTGAACTTAAAAAATATTAAGTAAGTGCAATTTTATTTTATTCAAATTATTTAATCTCATTTAAAAACTAGTCAACTGACTCTTCACATTTGTCCAGCTTTTACACATTGAAAGTTATTTATGAACCACTTCCCTCCCATTCACCATAACAAAATCTACAGCTTCTATGCAGTAAACTAAAGTCATGAATTTTCCACATTTGACTCTAAACTCCATTATTTCCTTCACTGTTGCTCCAACTAAAATAGGTCAACATAAATTCCATGCTCAGCAACCAACAGAAAAATAATCTACTCTGTATATCTGCCAAAATTTTAATTAATTTTCTACCACACATTATTAAAAAGTTCACTTTTTATTTCAGACATTCAATCAAATGTTAAAACTCTATGCACTCAGATTGATACCTGTATCGCCACCTAAGAAGTAATAGTGACAGCTGTTGGAAACTGTGTGTGGGGGCATTACTGGAATATTTGGCAATAATGTCTTATCACTGGAATAGGAGCCAATCTATTAATTAGATTAGATTAATTATATGGCAGACATTGGTGGGTAGTTGCTGCCTGTGGATGTAAACCGAACACCAGCACGAACCTTTAGGAAAGGTAATCTTTCAGATTGTTAAGGACGTGCAATTGTTACACAGAAACCACTGACTTTCCGAGATTGAGGCTAGTTATTAAAGCAGAATGAGAAATCACGAAGCTAAATGCTCCTTTAAAACAATGCTGTAGAGAGCTTAAATTAACCTGAAGAGAATAAAATCTGATCTTTGCCAACATTTAAAGAAAACAACTGTAATAAAAAGTAAAATTAAGTGAATCCAAAGGATAATAAATCATAAGTTAAAACAACCAATCAAGGGTAGGTGATGGCCTGATGGTATTATTGCTCGACTATTAATCCAGAAACCCAGCAAATATTCTGGGGACCCTGGGTCGAATCCCACCATTGGAGATGGTGGAATCAAAGAGTCTGGAATTAAGAATCTACTGACCACCATGAAATTATTGCTGATTGTTGGAAAAACCCATCCGGTTCACTAATGTCCTTCAGGGAAGGAAATCTGCCACCCTCACCTGGTCTGACCTACATGTAATCCAGACCAACAACAATGTGGTTGACTCTCAATTGCCCTCTGAAATGGCCTAGCAAGCCACTCAGTTGTACCAATTACTACAAAGTCTCAAAGAAATGAGACCGGACGGATCACCTGGCATCAACCTAGGCACCAGGAAAGACAACGGCAGAAACAGCCCTGCTGCCCCTGCAAAGCCCTCTCACTAACACCTGGAAGGTAGTGCCAACATTGGGAGAGCTGTCTCACAAACTAGTTAAGCAACAGCCTGATACAGTCATATTCACAGAATCATACCTTACAGGGAGTGTCCCAGACATCACCATCACCATCCCTATCCCTGTGTATGTCCTGTCCCAGCAGCAGGACAGACCCAGCAGAGGTGGCAACACAATGGTATACAGTCAGGAGGGTGTTGTTCTAGGAGTCAACGTTGACTCCGGGCCCCATGAAGTCTCATGCCTTCAGGTTAAACATGGGCAAGGAAACCTCCTGCTGATTACCTCATACCATCCTTCCTCAGCTGACGAATTGGTACTCCATGTTGAACAACACTTGGAGGAAGCACGGAGGATGGCAAGGGCACAAAATGTACTCTGCGGGCGTGGGATTTCAATGTCCACCACCAAGAGTGGCTTGGCAGCAGTACTACAGATCGGGCTGGTCAGCTCCTAAAGGACATAGCTGCTAGACTGGGTCTTTGGCAGGTGGTGAGGGAACAAACAAGAGGGAAAAACATACTTGACCTCATCCTTACCAATCTGCCAGCTGCAGTTACTGATACTGTCATGGACAGATGCAAGAGTGACCATCGCACAGTCCTTCACATTGAGAATGACTTCCATCATGTTGTGTGGTATAGTCACCAAGCTAAATGGGACACACTTCGCACAGATCTAGCGACTCAAGACTGGGCATCCACGAGGCGCTGTGGGCCATCAACAGCAGCAGAATTACACTTCAGCACAATCTATAACCTCATGGCATG